ATATTCTTTGGAGGATTTTAAAGAAAAATTGAATACTAGTAGCATATATCAAAGCTATAAAGGGTATGCATGATAGAGCAAAGATTGCCATAAGAACTCATGAAGGACAAACCAAAAACTTTCCCATAACTGTAGAGTTATATCAAGGCTCATCTTTAAGTCCGTACCTTTTTGCATTGGTAATGGATGAGTTAACGGGACATATTCAATATGATATTCCTTGGTATATGCTTTTCACAGACGATATAGTGTTGATTAATGAAACTCATGAATGAGTAAATGCGAAGCTTAACCTTTGGAGAGAGTGTTGAAATATAAAACTCTTCGCTTAAGTCGGTCAAAGATAGAGTATATGGAGTGCAAGTTCAGTGCAAACGGAGGCTCAAATGAGTTAGGGGTGAGGATTGGAGATCAGGAAGTACCAAAGACCGACTGCTTTCACTATCTAAGATCTATCTTGCAAAAGAACAAAGAGTTGGCTGGAGACCTCAACCATAGAATACAAACTGGATGGATGAAGTGGAAGAGTGCATTGGATGTGTTATGTGACCGTCGTATGCCACTAAAGCTCAAGAAAAAAATTTATAAGACGACAATAAGGCCAACAATGCTTTATGGCACAGATTTTGGGTGGTGAAGCATCAACACATACATAAAATGAGTACAGCGGAGATGAAAAAGCTTCGCTGGATGTGTGGGCATACAAGAAATGATAAGATTAGGATTGAGGATATCTGAGGTAAAGTAAGAGTAGCCGAAATTGAAGGAAAGATGAGAGAAAATCGATTACAGTGGTTTGGACATGTGAAACGAAGGCTTATAGACGCTCCGGTTAGAAGATGCGATTACGAGACAAAGGTTCAAGGCCGAAGGGGTAAAGGAAGACCTAGAAAGACTTTGGAAGAGACTCTAAGAAAAGACTTGGAGTACTTGGATCTAATGGAAGACGTGGCACAGTCGCGAGTGCAATAGCGTACTAGGATTCATACAGCAGACCCCACTTAGTAAGATAAGGCTTTGTTGTTGTTGTTGTATTGAGTCTCTTTTGTTTTCATTATACTTTTGATTTTTATCTTGTTGATTAGCTACAAACTTGGTTTAGTCAAGTTTTGGCACAAGTTGATACAAGAATTGTGCAAAAAACATGAGGTGGCGGAGAGTCCATAGAGAGTTTTACTTTGTGGGAGTCTTCTTAACTTGTCTTAGCTTCAATTGGTTTTTAAAATTAAAAGTTGAAATCAACGTTGGAGAGATAGACAAAGAGGAGAGTGAAGTTGAAATCGACGTTGTACTGAATGAACACATTTCTTTGTATAAAAAGCCTAGTGGGTTTTCAATTTGGGTGTATAGGAATTAAGAGTAAGAGTCTGGGGTGAATAAGATTAAGAGTCTAGGGTGATAACACCTTATCAAAACTAAAGTAGTGCTTCAAGAGATTGAATACAAATCTCTCTCTCTTCTCTTTAGCCATCAACCAGCCTTTTCTCGGCGAAGACGACTAGCGTCACCACCACCAAAGTGAAACATGCGACCCCAAAAGAAAAACCTTATGAAGCAGAGATATTGGAGCGGGAGCAAAGATTCAGGAGAGGGGGCTTCAGTAATTCGTGAAAACTCAAAGAATCCTAATTTGGAAATGGCAAGGATTCACCCCGATCGCCAAACAACTGCAAGTTGTGTGATGCGTGGGCTAATAATTGTAGCATGTTCCAGTGTCAATGAATTGCGCTCTATATTATGAACCTATTTTTAGAACTATTTTTCCAGATCCAAATATTTGGTCGGAGAAATAGTAATTGACCGCCATTCCATTTTGTGAACAGTGGCATATAATCGTTGGATTGTCATGAATTTTAAATAGGGGTTTATGAAGTTTAATCATTTGAAAAATTGAAATTTAATTAAAAGGGTACTATGCTAGGGAGACCAAAATTTAAACCAAATGTTGTGTCACTATCAGAAAATAAGCACGTTAATCAACATTTTAGTAATAATCCAATCATCAATAACCACGTTATTTGATTTGCAAATTTAGTTTAAATAATTTGATCTCTCTAGCATTATCCAAATTAAAATCTGGTGTTAAATTACATATTTATTCTAGTCCTTTGATGTGTACTTATAATCAAATTCTAATTCATATTTTGTTTTAATATTTAATGTGTACAATATTCAGTGTCTCCCATTAAATATTGAATTTATTAATATACTCATTTTCATATTTAATGTGTACATCAAAATATAATTATAAGGTTATTAAATGTATCAAGAAACTAAATTAGATTTTAATCTCACGCAAGGTTTTAGTCTAAAAGTTATATTTTTTATGGATTAAAATGCAGTTTTCGATTTTAAAAATGTTATTGATGGTGCTATGTGTGACTTGCAAAAACTTACGTTTGTGAACTTGAAGTTCATTTTGACATCCTGTCTCGAACTTAATATTATTTTATTCCTTATCCTTGAAAAATTATGAAAATGCCCCTGATGAGTGGAAATCTTTCGTGGGCATTCTGGTCCTTGTCACTCTTTGGTTCTTTGCACATCTTCCTAGGTAGCAGTAGCACGTGTTCTTACAAACACATGAGTGTGAACGAGGCGTCAAATGATTTATGCATGTTTCCCAATGAGGGGCAAAATGACAGTTTTGCACTCTCAAGAATTTATTACTTGTTTACCAAGACAACAGTGAGTTATCGGTATTACGAGCTACAGACTATAATATCAATGGCTTATTCGTTGGGTTCGTTAAACAAGTGGGCAAGTAGGCTCGTCCATGTTAATATTTTATTAATTAGGTCTCGAGCCTAATTAATATTATTTGGGCTTGACCCAAAGACACACACACATATTCTTATAGCATTCGATGATACGAACGTGTAGGCTCAAGTGGAACCAAATTCGAAGCTACCATGAAGATTTTACGAAGTACCAAATACTGACGGTAAATTGGTAATTTCATGTTGGCGAGATATTCTGTGTTTTGTTTTATGAGCCATGTGGGGCCCACACCCTACTCCTACCTTGTCCTCGTGTCCCCTTCCTCAAGAACTCTCGATCTCTCTCTTTAACACTATCCTTTCACTCTCTCTTCCTAACTCTCTCATCTTAAACTCTTTCCTTCTCAAACTCTCTCATTGCTCTCTATAAACAAAGACATTGAGCCACCACCACTCACCTACTCCGGCAAGCCTCACAATCCAGAACACCTCTACATTGTTGCCATCACCACCCATTTGTACGACCATAATCGAGGTGTAAAGCTTTGAGCTTGCTTGTTTCTCTCCTTTGCAAAGTAAATTGAACTACCTTCCCTGCGAGTTTCTCGAGTTTCTGACCAAGGTAAGCCTTAGGACTTCCGTAATCATTCCCTTCTCGTTGTCTTGAGTCTATCTCTGAACCTACATGCATGTTTTGGTAGTGTTTAAGTGTAGAAACACCTGGAGGAAGATTTCCCAACTTTTTGGAATAGTAAAACCGTAGTCGTCATGCCATCTTCAGGCCATTTTTTCGGCCAACACCGACTATGACACCTTACTTTGGTATGGATCTATTTACCTAGTTACAAGCTTCATTTTGGTTTTTAAAACATGAAAAAAGGTGGTGAATCGAGCTAGAAAGTAGCTTTAGAAATAAGCCTGGAAAACAAGCCAAACCTGTGCTTCGCGAGGAAGGCGAGTACGCCTGTACTCGTGGGCCCGTGAGCGCGAGTGGATGGTCGGTGCATGGCTACCAGTGCAGCCACCTTGTGTTGGTTCATGCAACAACGCGTGGAGGAACCCGAGGTCCCTCTTTAGGTTTCTCGACTTGTCGAATCCGAATCAGCCCTCCATTTTTTGAAATTTGATCGTTTTAATATAGTTCCTTTATTAACCATAGTATTATTGGATACCTTATTTATATTTATAGCAATGAATAGTATTATGTTGATTAGAATTATCGAATTACCGCAACATGGTCATATTTATGCTAATTGCTCATCATGCATGCTACACTAGTGTTAGTACTTGCCTGGGCATCTTCTCGTGTAAGTTCACATCGCACCAATATGCTCACTTTGGATCCTTGAATGTGACATGAATGACGTCAATCTTCACGTGATTGTAGTACTAGAGTGTAAATCATTGTTACACCCAGTCCTGTTCATGTCAGAATATCTCTACATGAGCTTGTGTATCAGCATATGTCGATGTGCAGTAGATATTATATGTTCGTTTATGTGAGATAGTGTGGTTAAAAGATGTTATATGTTTTATATGTGAAATATTGTGATTTACCGTATTTCAAAAATGTTGCTGCTTACAGTAGTTTTTCTCATATTATATGTAGTATGATATATATATTTGAAACTATACTTGTTTTACGATGAGGGGTTATACGTTTTTTGAAAAGGTTAGGTCCACTTACCCTTATTTTTCGCCCCTTCAAAATTTAGTGGCAAAGCTTTTGTGTCAACAAGGATTCCTGGCAAATGTTGATGTAGGAGATTACTTCCGATAGTATAATTCTTATTTTACCTTTATTGTACTTTACTTACGCACTGACATCAGGTGTGAAATGAGTTCAATCCTGGTCACATGCACACTCTTGTATTTAGTCACTTTTAGGTTTTAATTTATTCATATTTATCCACATCAGTACACTTTATGGCTTTATCACCTTCTTGGTGTTGGCTAACACAACTCAATTCGGAGTTCAGGTAAACATTTCGGGTCGGGTATGTCATTCGTAGACTTTAGATCAAATATTTTAGGGTTTAGGACCCTAGGGGCGCATTTCGACCAAAAGGTTGACTTCCCAATCATCGTTCATCATATCATCATAGTATGTCATAGTTAAAGTGTAAAACTCAGATTTGACAATTGTAAGACTTGAATCTCAACTTGACTTGTAAAGCAATAATTTGGGTTCAAAATGGACAAATCTGCATATAAACAACTAAAAAAACTCATAAAGAGCAGAGGAATGAAATAAAAACAAGGAAAAATCAAAAGACGTACCTTATACCTAGCTCTCCAGATTCCTTTGCCTACAAAATGCCGGTGTACAATTGGTTTGTATGCCTTTTTTCCCTTTCCAAGTAAAACCGATCAACAGAAAATTGAAATTGTCAGAAATAAAATCAAGAGACACAAGAAAACAACGAAAATGGCAAAACATAATTTCTTTTGTCCTTTTGGTATTCTGACTTCTGAGTCGATTTTTCACTTTTTAGAAGTAAAGGAAAGTAGATTAAGCAAAAGAAGGTTGCTGTGATGAATAAACCACAAACAGACGAGTGTGTGTAATTAGAAGATGGAGTAAGATGAGAAGGGCAATGGGAAGAACTCTCTTAGCATAAGAAGATGAGATATATAATGCAGAGAGAGATAACGCGGCACGATAGAGAAATGCAATTAAAAAGGACAAAAAGTTAGGACTTAAGTCTGGTATTTGGTTGGTAAGAAATGGCTGTATTAGTTGACGTCAATCTTAAAGGATAACTTAATTTTCATGGCAATTATTTAGCACTTTGGCGTGGGAATCTACACCATCCCTACCATGTTATCTGTCTCTTGCTTTTCGTACGTCTTCTTCTTCGGCACAAAAATATCTTTGCCCCGTTTTTCGTGTCCTTTGTGAGCGGGGGAATATATTTGGGATTTGGATCCTCGCCGGATTCTTTTCATGGGAATCTTAAAAATCGTGCGATCACAATTAAATGCTTTTTATATTTTTAAAAGTAAAATAACCTCGTTTTCCGTGTAAGATATAAAAAAAGAAAAAATTATGGCCTCACGATTTTAGATCAACTGTCCACGTGCGTTGATCCCTAGGATCCCCAGTGAGGGGATCTGGCGAGGATCCAAATCCATATATTTGCTCACCTCCTAAGTGATGATGATATTCACCACTCTATTTATTACAATTAAATAAATTTAAATTTTAAAATCTATGTAGTTGATAGACATAAATTTCAAAATCCAATGATAATAAATAAAGAAAACTAATTAAAAGGACTTCAAAACTTTACATTTTAACAAAAAAAAAACACCTAAATAACTTTATATAATGATAAAAATTAGAGAATAAAAAAAAAGAAAAAAAAGAGACGTTGGCCCAGCGCCTCCCACCATTACTCCCCCACCCCACCATCAATAAAAAACCACATTTCTTCTTCGTCATTGCAGTGATCAAGTTTTTGATAAAAATCAAAGATGATTAGTAATGATGATATCCTTGCCACAAATTATGGTCCAATGTCTACATCAATCTCTAGGAAATTGGCTTGTCTCATATATTACAAGATACAACTTTCCTTAGTAGGCAAGCTTTTATTCCAACGTTACGTGTACTTGACCATTCAATATCCTTCAACAATACTTGGAATTAACTTCTATCTTGCATGGCAAAACATGTCACTTTCATTCACAAACTTAGCCTTTGACAAAGCAAGATAACACAAACACACGTTTAGTACTATAATCTCGTAAGGTGTATTTTCATATGTATAATAAATAATAAATAATATATATATGTGATATATGTAGAATTCGCTTGTACCTACTTAAGGAAAAATAAATAATATACGTATATTCATAGTATAATACCGTTAAGTTTCATAAACAGTGTAGTACCTTTAAAGTTCATAAACAATGTAGTACCGTTAAGTTTCATAAACAATGTAGTACCGTTAAGTTTCATAAACAATATAGTATAGTTAAGTTTCATAAACAGTGTAATAAGTTTCATAAACAGTGTAGTAAATTTCATAAACACTGTAGTGCCATTAAGTTTCATAAACACACATAGACAAAATCCTCACTCGCAACGGCCAGCATAATAAGGTCAAACTTGTCTATTCAAAACATCAAACAAATTCTACACTTGTGTGAAATTCCTTTCTTCCATTGTATGTGTTTATTTGCTTTCACCACCACTCCAACCATGCACCCACTACTTGTGTGAAATTCCGTTCTCATTTTGATAACTAGCATACGAATTTGTCTCTTCAAGCTTTCAAAATTACGCGATGTTCGAGATTTGACAAGGAGAAGTTGCGCTTGTGAATTTTGGTTTTTTCTTTTTTTTTTTTTTTTTTTTAATGGAAATTCCTTTCTCACTTTGACAACTTTCATACGAATCTTGCTTTTTGTGTGAATTTTGGCTCTCTATTTTATAGCAAAGTTTTAGCTAAAACTTTTAAAAGGTTATTTTGGGAGTTCTCTATAAAAGTTGTACTCCAACAAGTCCAACAATAGTACTTTAGAGAGTCGTAGTGACTACGAGTCAATATGATACACCCCGACCCGGAATGTCCACTAGGATTCCGAATTGAGCTGTGCTGACCGACACCTAGGAGGTGACGAAGCCATAAAGTGTGATGATGTGGAAATATTGTGAATAAATTTAAACCTAAGAGTGCCTAAATACCAAAGTGCACTGGTGAGCAGGAATGAATCTACTTCACATGTGACGTTAGAGCATAAGCAAGTACAAAAGAGTGAATTAAGAATTGTACTTTCGAATAATCTTCAATACTAAGAATCGCCACGATTCCTCAACGATAAGAAAACTCAGCTAAGAAGACCTGGGGGGTGAAGACAAAACAAAGATGAGTGGCCCAATAATTAAAATTTTAATAGAAATCATATAAATTGCTATAACCCCTCACTTGTATAATTTCCAAACTTAGAATATATAAATATACATCTTTATATACATATATTGATTCAAGTCATGCTTCACATATTTATAATCATATGTTAACTTATCACATATTCATCACGTCTACTAACTCATCACGTATTCACCACATATGTTAGCTCATCACATATATTCATTATATATACTAGCATGTAAGTCGGAGTCACCTTTAGTGACCTATACGACATATTCATATTTCATCACATATCTCATCAGTTATGGCTAGCATATAATAGTCGGAGTCACCTCTAGTGACCTATACGACATATTCATATCTCATCACATATCTCATCAGTTATTGCTAGCATATAATAGTCGGAGTCACCTCTAGTGACCTATACGACATATTCATATCTCATCACATATCTCATCAGTTATTGCTAGCATATAATAGTCGGAGTCACCTCTAGTGACCTATACGACATATTCATATATCCTCACATATCTCATCAGTTATGGCTAGCATATAATAGTCGAAGTCACCTTTAGTGACCTATATGACATATTGATATCTCGTCACATATCTCATCAGTTATGGCTAGCATATAATAGTCGAAGTCACCTCTAGTGACTTATACGACATATTCATATCTCATCACTTATCTCATCAGTTATGGTTAGCATATAATAGTCGGAGTCACCTTTAGTGACCTATACGACATATTCATATCTCATCACATATCTCATCAGTTATGGCTAGCATATAATAGTTGGAGTCACCTCTAGTGACCTATACGACATATTGATATCTCATCAATCAAACTAATACCATATACTTACTTGAGTTTACCTAAACTTACTTGAACTTAAATGAACTTACCTGAGTGTCCTACATTCACCTTTGCACTTCAGAGCGTTCACAACACCACAATTATATATATATGCAACCAATTCAACTCATCGTTTATGCATTATTCAATAGGCATGGTATTTTTAAAGTTTAAATCATATAATCGCATTTTCTGGGAAAAACATCAAGTGTATACATATATACCTAAAAACCAAAAGCCCACACCTATTGTTCAATTCCTTAAACAAGGTTATGGTCTCGACTATTTAATCTCATTTCTTATATGGCTGCATCTAACGTCTCGTTAGACTGTCTACGTACCCTAAACAAGGATCAAGCCATTCGGAGTTCGCATCAATCATTTATAGTAATACACATATGGATAGATCACAATGAAATCTAACTCAACCATCTCATAGTATTTTATAACATATAAATATATATATGTCATGGCATAAGTTCTCAGTTTTATTTAAAAGCATTTATAGAATTATCAATCATGAAACATAAGATGAGCAAGGAAAGATCCACTCACCTGGAATCCGCATTACAACTTCCTAGCACGAACATCGAGGCATCATAAACGATCGGCGCCTGTGACCAAGGCCAATTTGGCCTGGAAAGGCTCCAATTTCATTAAAACCCGTCAGAACCCTAGAACTGGGTGTGTTTCAATTCGACCTCCAAACGTTTTCCGACGCTTCCACCACTGCTTGGGCTTTGTTCCTGGGTTCAAGGGGGGGTCTAATGGTGGTGGTGGTTGATGGGATTTGCTTCAAAAATGGTGGATTGTCGCCACCCCACCTCCGATGCAATCCTTTGAAAAACCCTTCAATTACCCTCAATTTCCTTCCAATTTTGGATGATAATGGGAAAAAGGAAGAGTTAGATGATGATTGGGAGTGATAACTTGGTCCAATTCGTGAGAAATCCGATGGAAAACCACCGGAAAAATATGAAGAAATGGGAATGGGTGTACACAGGTCGCGGGTTGGGGAACCCGTTTCCCCCTTTTTCCCCCGCACGCCACTCTCCCTCCTTCCCTTCCTCGCTTCTGCTTCTGATTGGGCAGTCTCTCCCTTCCTCCCCTCTGATTGGGCATCAGCCCTTCTTCTTTCTCTCTTCCTCTTCTTCTTCTTCTTTCTTTTTCTTTTCTTCCCCCTTTCCCGTCACATACACACACCCCACCCCCTCACACACATACACTTGTCCTCTTAATTAGTATGCCATAATATAATATAATTAGAAAGGTTATTTCTTCAAAATACTTTCGGTTTGTCACTCCAATTTCACTTCCGCTTGCGCATACTCGTTCGTATCGTCAATTCCCTCAAGAATACGCTAAAAGAATATTTAGTACATCTCATAACACGCTAGTCAATGAAAGTAAAAACCTTCGTCACTAGGGCGTTTTCGTAATTTCACATTTTAAAATTTATAAATTAATAAAATCTGGGACGGGTTGTCACACAATAATTAGCCAATATCAATTAATTATTTATTTAAAACAGTTAGCATTAATTATAGCGTCACTAGGAGCTATTTTCTCCCTCCCTATATTTAAGAGCTCCTAGATGAATCCCTATCTTCAAAGGTAGATAGGGAGCATGATTGGAGTTGATTTTTTTTTGGAATCTTACCTAAATTTAGTTAGGAGCTCTTTTAGGGAGCCTGTTGGAGATGCTTTTAAGAAGATTAGAAATGATATTTTTTTCATATGTCACAGGAAGCAAAATACAAGAAAGAAAAAAAGGTGGCAAAACAACATGGGAAGAAATAAAATGAGTATTTCATTAAGTTTGGGAGAGAGTTCGAAGAAATTTATGGAAGTTGAGGTTCACCCCATAGCTAATTTATGGATAGAGAGGCCCAAAATTATTTAAATGAGTTCAGCCTGCATTATATACACGAAATATAGCTTTCTTTCCAAAAGA